AGAGAAACTATGTCATCAGATAAAGAGTCTCTGAGTTGTTTGGGGCCAAGAACAATAACTTCAGTTTTGTCTGAATTTAACATCAGGAAATTGGTGCTCATCCAAGTTTTTATGTCTTTAAGGCAGTTATGGAGTTTAGTTAATTGATTACTTTCTTCTGGCTTCATCGATAAATACAACTGAGTATCATCCGCATAACAATGGAAATTTATAGAGTGATTTCTAATGATGTTACCTAAAGGAAGCATATATAGAGTAAATAGGATTGGTCCGAGCACAGAACCTTGCGGAACTCCAAAACAAACTTTGGTACGTAAGGATGATTCATTATGAACGTCAACAAATTGAAAACGATCAGATAAATAAGATTTAAACCAGCTTAGTGCTGAACCTTTTAGGCCAATTAAGTGATCCAGTCTCTGCAGTAGAATTTGATGGTCAATTGTGTCAAACGCCACACTAAGATCTAATAAAACAAGAACAGAGACGAGTCCTTTGTCTGAAGCAATCAGAAGGTCATTTGTAATTTTAACTAGAGCTGTCTCAGTGCTATGATGCACTCTAAATCCTGAGTGAAATTCCTCAAATAAATTATTATCCTGGAGAAAATCACACAGCTGGTCTGCGACTACTTTCTCAAGGATCTTTGACATAAAGGGAAGATTAGATATTGGTCTATATTGGGCGGGACACTGGGTGAGACTACTGCAAACAGAGACCGGCGGCTGCATCAGAGCCAGAGTAGCCAATTTATCAATTAATTTATTTTATTTGTTAACGGATTTTTTAAAAAGAAAAAGAATATCAAGTGACAGTTAATGCTGATATTATGATGGGCTGCCAGAAATAGATAAATGAATGGGAAACAGTACCATCACATGCCACACTCAACATCATTCTGAGTCCGTCCCTCTCTTCCCCTTTCTATATATCTCCTCTGTGTTCATCCTGTAACTTCTCCTCAATGTCTTTCCTCCATCCCCTCCTCCACACTGTCTTTTGTCTCTGCTTTTCTTTCTCTACAATGGGACTGTTGCTGTAGTTGCAAAGGACGTGTGTGTGTGTGTGTGTGTGTGTGTGTGTGTGAGAAAGGGAGAGAGAGAGAGACAGCAAGAGAGAGAGCGAGGGAGAGAGAGAGTACTTAACCTTTTAATCCTCATCACATGGATGCCTTTAGCAAATTAAAAAACAAGATACATTTGAGTATGTGCAGAACAGCAGTTGACTTTGTTCATTTTCTATAATTACACAAGGTATTGTGTAATTGTATTGTATTGTGTATTATTCTACAATTTTGTGGCTTGTGACTGAAAGTGACACACATACGCACGCTCTTGCACCTTAAAACCACTGGCCTTACGTGCTGACTTGCTGCAGTAAGCATGTTGGGTCATTTACGGTGCTTCTGTGATAGTCACTGGTAGCATCTTTGTGCTGCCCTTGTGAAGTTAACCAAGTTGGTTTCATTAAATTCTTAATTACAGCTGCTAAACACCTGCTGTACATTTTAACTATACTAGTTCTGCTCTTTTCTTCGTTTGGCAACATTCTTGCAAATCCCAGTTGTTTACACACCATTAGCTCTGTTAGCTACTTTAGCTTAGCAGCTAATCATGGCTTCTCTCTCTCCCTCTTACCCTCTTGCTCTCTCTTGCTCAGTGTTTCAAATGTTTAGCTATTCCTCCGCCAGTGATACTGTAATAATATACTAGGCTGACCAAACGTCCTCTTTTGCCCGGACATGTCCACTTTTCACGTCCCATCCGGGGCGCCCGGGGGTTTTTTATAAACTAATGATTATGTCCGGTTTTCCGTTTGTTTGTGTGTGTGTGTGTGTTAGAGTGCGGCAAGGGCAGCATATTTCTGTCTGAACCCGAACCGAGCCCGACATTATTTAATGACCAAAGCACTTTGTTTGTGTCACACAGTGGTTACAGGCTATTTAACAGGCCGGGCGTGCGCCGTAGGTGCTCAGCTGCGGAGAGGGAGACCTCTGTGTTTGAGACGGGAGCGGGAGGCGGGAGGTCCGACACTTCTAGCGAGAGGAGAGGGAGAAATAAAACAAAATAAGATAAAATAGGAAAAACCTGTCTCCCTCTTTTATTTTATTTTCAGCATTTAATCATGGCGGAGGCAGGCGACCAGAGGTCCAAGACTTCCAGCGAGGAGAGAGATAGAAACAAACAGCCAATGTGTGTGTGTGTTGTGTTCAGGTGTTGTCACGTAAATAACAGTGCCCAAGCAATAAACAGGACAGACAATAGGATTTTATTTATTTTTACACTACATTTTCACTGAAAGCTGACCGAATCCAACCCGAGCCCGAATACAATTTATAGCTACATTTTTGACCAAACCCGGCCGACCCGTTGGGTACCGTCGGGCTCGGATCGCCACACTCTAGTGTGTGTATGTGTCCCCTTTTAGGGCCTATCTGAATTTCTGTCTTTGAGAGATATTATTTTGTAATATAACTGAATTTTCAATCCATACATATAAATTTTAAATATATTAAAATGATAAGGCATCTTTGAGTAAAATGCGAGTATCATTTAAGTAGGCTATGTCGTGGCCGGCCGAGTGTCCCCTTTTTTTGAAATCAAAATATGGTCACCCGATAATATACATGGAATAAATATAGTTTATTTGTTATGTTGGAGGTAAGTCTTAGTGAATTGGAAGTGTGACTCCACTGTATGGAAAGTCACTCATTGGCTGCTGCAGTTTGCTATCCCCCTTGAGCCAGTGTGGAACCTTGTGCAGCTGGTAGGCTGGGTAACTGTCCAAGGGAAGCTTAGCTCTAGTTTAAGCCAACTAAGCCACCCACCACCCATTATTATTCATCAAAATTAAAACAAACTTCAGGTACAAAGCTCATCTCAGTTTTTTTAAACTAGAATTACAACCTTGTGGTTGTAAGCCTCCATATACCAGTCAAGGTTCTCTTAGAGTTTACATCCATATCTTCTCCCCAGCAGCACAGAGGATCTATACAATCAGCATAGTTTCAAGGTGGACAGATTAATGTCACCGATTCAGTATCTGACCAAATGTCTCCCCTTCTGCACCTGAGATATAATGTCGAGTAATGACCAGAAAAGTGTTTTATGCAGAACATTATGATGTCATGGTGACGCTGACTTTTGGCCTTTTGGATAGAAAATGTAATCACTTCATCATTTTATTCTATTTGGCATTTGTGTGACACTTTGTCATGATTAACATATAAATTCTTGAGTTAT